TGGACTGCCCACCTCCTGGCTTGCCGCCTGGCGCGCGCGGCCAAAGCGCAAACACACAAACAGCGACACTGAACGACAAGATGCTCAAGCCGGTCCACCCGGACGTCGGCGCGCCTGCCAACTGCAGGGTAGGCAGCCACGCAATGCCTCCACTGTTAACGGATTTCGGAGCGTGGTTTGGTCGTCAGGGAGTCAGGGGCAGACAGATGACGAGTGACGCACACCTGGAATCACACCTTGAATCGTACCTGGAATCGCACCTGCCCGCATCGGGGGCACACGGCGGCAATCAAAAAGCAGTCGCTGGCGGTGGGCGGGGGGAGGGGAGGGGGGAGGCCAGCAGGCCTGTGTGTGGCACTGCTGGACCTCCGCGCTGCTCGCGCTGCTGCTGCCCCGCGTCCAAACCGCCGCGGCCATCTGGTCGACGTCGGCACGGGCTTACACTGGAAAACTTCCATTAAACCAAGTCTTTGTTGTTTTAGCTAATGAATCGATAGAAAGGCCGTCTAAGTCGCCACTGATCGTGCACCGACTAGCCGGATGGTCGGGGCTGCTGTTGTCCTCCGGCAGTCCCTGCAAAGACAGCGCCACCGCCGCGTCGAATCTCGAATCGATCCATTTCGAGAGTAATCGACTTGCGCTCCGGCCGCCCATTTCTGGCTGCTGCTCTCCACCCGCGCCTCGCGCCTCGCGACCCGCAGAGTGATTCACCTCCAGTAAGGCGCGGCGTGGCGCAGCACGGCACGGCGCCGGAAGCAGCCTCGACGGTGACTCGGAGCAGTGCCAGGACGAGGATGGCGTCAGGCGCCCCCTCCCCCTCTCGCCGCGCTTCGGACACAGCCTGGACATATGGCCAGGGCCTTGGCCAGGGCCCCGTGGGGCTCTGTTTGCTGGTCACCGTCAGGTCGAGCTCCGCCATTCATTTATCCGCGGAAATTCCTCCTCGTTCAGTTGGCAAATGGGCGGAATGTTCATGCGGTTGTTGTTGTTTTTTCGGGTGGTGTAGTGGGACCCTTTCTGGGGCAATACCCCCCAAACCCCGCCTAGCCTGCCAACGTGACAACGCCTACTGCACAAGTCGTTCTGGGAGTGCACTGCTATGATGATGTGCCAACGGCTGGGCTCGGCTCGGCTCGGCGCGGTGGGGAGGGGCCGGGCGGGGCGAGGAGGAGGAAGGCGGAAGGCGGCTGAGCGAAGCAGCACGGCGACACCCACGCGCGTCCTGCGCGGACAAGGAGGGCCTGCGCCTTGGTGGGTAGGCAACGCCAAGAGGAAAAAGAGGGGAGGGGGCACACCGGGCAAGCGGCAGGAAGCAGTAAAGAAATACAAGCAAGGGCAGCCCCCTCCCAAGGAAAGGGGCGTGTCGCGATGGACGCCCCCCTCCCCTCCCCCCTCCCCCAGCTCGTGCTCGTCGTGGTCCTGGCGACAATTGAGGCGGTGCTAACTGAACCGTGCTCGGCAGACAGACTGTTTCGGGGGCTTCATGCGTGCTTGGGCCTGAAATTGATCTTCACCCCCCACCCTCCACTGCCGGGGAAACGGATTCTGCAGTGTAGGCAAGGCGAGGCAAGCGGAAACGCGCACGGGGCTTCCTTCCGCCGAACTGGCGGCCCTGGTGACCACACTGGTGTGCGAACCGAGATTCTCGCAGTACGTCCCAACCCAGCCAAACCTAACCTGCGGGTCCGCGATGTGAGGCGCCACACACCCTGGAGCACACGGCGCGGCCGTCGCACAGTGGGCCAGAAGACCAGTGGAGGCGGACAAAACTCTAGACGCGATTTGAGCTGTAGAGTCGCTTTGTGGGATTCGAACCACGTGACCCCACCAATGGATTCCTCGTTCGGAGAGCAATGCATTGGTGGGGTCACACGTTCGTTTCGAGTCCTATTTAGCGACTCTGCAGCTCAAATCGCGTCTAGAGTTTTGTCCGCATCCACCTGTCTTCTAGCCCACTGTGCGACGTGGAGGCGTGGCGGAGGGTTCGACTCGTTTCACAAAAACGCGCCCAATTAGACGCCTCCGCGTCCCTGCCGCCGCCGAGCAGTGCCGAGTGATCTAGTGTCCTTGGTCGCCCTCGCTGCGAGCCGGCGAGCTCTCCGGAAGCCTTCGGGCTGCCCGCCCCGCCCCGCCCGCACTGTAAAGACCGACGGAGACGAAGACGATTGTCTTTTCGGGCGCGTTGCAGTGCCGTGCCGCCGTGCCCCGCTCAGCCTCGGGAGCAGGCGGAACCAGGGTAATGAAGGCGCCCACTGCCTCCAGGAGTGCGTCATTATGCTAAGAGACACTGCCGGCAGCCGTCGTCCGAAACGGCCGCGGTGGTGTCCCCATGCCGACGCGCCGTCAGCTGCAGGGGTGGCTGTCCACGGGGTGCCTAGAGGTGGCCGTCAACGGGGTGCCTACAGGTGGCCGTCGACGGGGTGCTTGGAGGACGCCGCAGTTTCGGGCGCCACCACCTGCTCCTCCTCAACGCAGTTTTGTGTTGAGTTCGTCGGGCGCCTTGCGGGTAGGCAACCCGTCTCTGTTCAGGGCACCGGAGAGCTGCGGGCCTGCCTACCTCGCTCCCGTAAGGCGCGCGGGTCGGCAACCCGCCACACTGCGGCGTCTCGAATGCCTACCCTCCAGGCGTCTGGCAGTGTGCTAGTCTGCAGGCTGGCGGGCTGCATATTCGACATTCGACCTTCCTGCCGGGCGGCTTACTCCAAAATTCAATAGCGCCTTGCCTTCCTGCCCCGGGACTCTTTCGCTCCCCGGGGAGCCGTTTACCGGCCCGTTTCGTCATGAACGGCCCCCTGGTGACCTCCACGCGCACTACAGGGCGCAACTGCACGCGTGCGAGAGAGAGAGAGAGAGAGACACGCGGTACACAGTGGGCCAGAGGACCGGTGGGGGCGGCCAAACCTCTGGACGCGTTTTGAGCTCCACAGTCACTAAATGGGACTCGAACCTAACGTGTAACGCCACCAATGGATTGCTCTCAGAACGAGGAACCCATTGGTGGGGTCACACGTTTGGTTCGAGTCCCATTTAGCGACTGTGGAGCTCAAAACGCGTCTAGAGTTTTGGCCGCTTCCACCGGTCGTCTGGCCCACTGTGCGGTGCGCACCTTGCCGCCTCTCCGGGCCCCTGGGCAGCAGCGGCGGCGGGAGGGTCTCCTCCTCCTCACTGCCGCCACGAGAACCGAGTCTATTTTTACATTTTTTGTCCTCTTTTCTCCTCTCTTCGGAGGAAGTGAAGGGGCGGGCGGGTATCCTTTCATTTGCGGCCACTTAGCGTGAGCGTAGCGTTTTCTGCTCACGTCCACGGAGAGCGCCGTGCTGCGCCGCCACGCCGCCACGCCCCTGCGCCGGCTACCTGGCGGCCGCGTCCGAAGTGCGCTGCGCGTCGACGGCCTCCTCCTCGTGCTCGAGGACGCCGACGGCGCGGTCGCCGCCTCGGACGCGGCCGCGCCGCGATAGAGTCGCCCGGCCCGACGGGCCACGCGGGCCAACGCGCCTCGCCGCGCCTCTCCTGTTTTGTCTGACTTACGGCACGGCGCAGCGGCTCAGGGCTCCGCGGCGTGTTAGGCCCCTCCCCCAAACCGCACCGCCGAGGCAGCCGCGCAGCCGCGCACCACATCACGGTCGAGGCAATCAACGCAGCCAGCCTCCACACTCACCTCAAATTTCACGATGCGGATGAGCGGCGGGCAGGGCCTACCGAACTACCGACAGTGCAGTGTACCTGCCGGGAGACGCCAAGTTCGTTCCCCCAGGTCCTGCGCCCCGCTCCGCGAGTTGGACCGCCAGCCGCGCTGCCGGTGCCACGCCCGACGAGATGCTTTGACGCGTCCGATCGTATGTCAGAGACAGTCCGCGCCAACCTCCACGCAGAAAGCCCTAACCCAACCTAACACACACGCGTGGCTGCGGTTGTCATTCCCCGTCGGTCTCCGCGGTTATTCCAAATAAAGTGATTACCTCAAGGGAGAAATGCAAATAAACATGTCTTCCCTCCGGAGTCTCGGCGCCGACCGCGGTGCGGTGCAAGGCCCCTTGCCGGCGCTACGCTACGCCGGCTAGGGTACCGGGTACCCAAGGTACCCATTCCCATTGGAACGGTGCGGCGTGGATTACCACTAGGCAGTACTTTGAGTACTTTCTCGTTTGCCGTCCTGTCAGCACTCATCAGGAGTACCCAAACGGAGCCAGCGGTACCGGAGTACCGACGGAGCGCGGGGTGGCCGCGTGCGAGGCGCCTTCGGCTTCGGCTGCCGCGGCGCCAAAGACGCTTTGTTGGCTCTCGCATCTCGCAGCCCCGGGATGCCCTGGGACTGACAGGGAGAGGGACTCGTGCGTCCCGGACGCGGCCCCGCCGTCATAGTGCCTGATGGCGCGGCGCGCAGCCTGGCCCTGCCGGCCGGCTCGGGGCCGTGCGAACGCGAACGCGTTCCGATGGGAGAACGGAGCGGGGCAGGGCCAGCAGAGCAGGCCGTGTGGCGGTGCGCCTCTGTGGCACTGTAGTCTGATTCCGAGAGTCGTTTTCGTCGCTGTCTCTCGCTCCTGTACGGGCTGCCTATGAGTGCGAGAGTGACTGCGACGAACACGACTCTCGGAAGCAGAGCGCCGGGCCGGGCGGACTGTAGGACCAAGACCGTCACCCGCTAACGGGCCGACCGGTGGCGTTTTGGGCGTGTCTCGTTTTTACAGTGAGCCAAACGTCGCGCGGGCGTGTTGAAACACGAACTGCAATGTTCCCTTTCACCTTGCAGGAGAGAAGAGCCCCTTTGGAGCGCTGGGACGCTATGGTCATCTTGACCGTTCTAGCTGAAAGGATTGAGTAACTTATTTGTCGGCTTGCTCCATGTCCAGATGATTCACTTCAGAGACAGGTGAATTTGTGCCATTGATTTATCAATTCACTTGGGTTTCTAGAATGAAGGGTGCGTTTCAATCTTTTACTTGTCGTAAGTTCTTATGATTATGGTGGTGGGGAGAAATGAAGAAAGGAAAACAGTGAGGTAATTTTTGCAGCCCATCACTTTAATGCGTTGGCAGTCACATACAAGGCTGAGTTTTAGCTAACTGAGAACAAGCCACGATAAAGCTTTCAGTCTTTACAGTACAGATCATCGTTTTTGCAGTATCCAGGAATGTGGCTGGGAATTCATAGACAAGCTTTACAAAAAGACACAGCATACAGAACATGTACAAAACACATCTGAAAAATACATTAATACATTAACAGCTTAAAGCTGAGGAAATTAGGACAGAATGATAGAAAGAAGAAGGCGACGAAAGAATAAAATGGAAAGTGCAGAAAAAAACATGTCAAAAGTAAAAAAAAGGGGAAAGATAAAAGCGTCAGGATAAAGAGTCCTTGGCTCTAGTTCTCATCGACCTCCTGCTCCTGCTCTTCGTCGAATTCCGCATCTTCATCTGCGGTCGCCTCCTGGTACTGTTGGTATTCAGACACCAGGTCGTTCATGTTGGACTCTGCCTCAGTGAATTCCATCTCGTCCATGCCCTCACCAGTGTACCAATGCAAGAAGGCCTTCCTCCTGAACATGGCGGTGAACTGCTCAGAGATACGCTTGAACAGCTCCTGGATGGCGGTGGAGTTACCAATGAAGGTGGCGGACATCTTGAGACCACGAGGAGGAATGTCGCACACGGCAGTCTTGACGTTGTTGGGGATCCATTCAACGAAGTAGCTGCTGTTCTTGTTCTGGATGTTGAGCATCTGCTCGTCGACCTCCTTCATGGACATGCGGCCACGGAAGACGGCGGCGACGGTGAGGTAGCGTCCGTGTCGGGGGTCGCAGGCGGCCATCATGTTCTTGGCGTCGAACATCTGCTGGGTGAGCTCGGGGACTGTGAGTGCGCGGTACTGTTGGCTGCCTCGCGACGTCAGGGGAGCGAAGCCGGGCATGAAGAAGTGGAGACGGGGGAACGGCACCATGTTGACGGCCAGCTTACGCAGGTCGGCGTTCAACTGACCGGGGAACCTGAGGCAGGTGGTGACGCCGGACATGGTGAGGGACACGAGGTGGTTCAGGTCTCCGTATGTGGGGGTGGTGAGCTTCAGCGTCCTGAAGCAGATGTCGTACAGGGCCTCGTTGTCGATACAGTAGGTCTCGTCGGTGTTCTCGACGAGCTGGTGGACTGAGAGGGTGGCGTTGTAGGGCTCGACGACGGTGTCTGAGACCTTAGGGGAGGGGACGACGGAGTATGTGTTCATGATCCTGTCGGGGTACTCTTCGCGAATCTTGGAGATGAGGAGGGTGCCCATGCCGGAGCCGGTACCACCGCCAAGGGAGTGGGTGAGTTGGAAGCCCTGCAACAAATTAACAATTAACCTCAGGTTCACAAAGTTTGGATAAGTTACAAGTCTTTGCCGATTAAACAAGAATATTTACCTGAAGGCAGTCGCAGCTCTCAGCCTCCTTCCTCACGACATCAAGGACGGAGTCAACCAGCTCGGCACCTTCTGTGTAGTGACCCTTGGCCCAGTTGTTGCCAGCTCCGCTCTGTCCAAAGACAAAGTTGTCTGGCCTGAAGATCTGACCGAAGGGGCCAGAGCGGACAGAGTCCATGGTACCAGGCTCCAAGTCGACAAGGATGGCACGAGGCACATATTTGCCACCTGTCCCAACACATTTGCAGAAAATTAATCCACACAATACGGGTAGGATAGAGCCCTTTAATCTCACATTCTACTCTCGCTTTCCAGATTATGAATGTCACTGAATGAATGGATTGATTATGTACTTGAGAAAATGATAATGAACTTGAAAAAAGGAAAAACCAAACCCACTTAAATTTACGCAGCTCAAAAGTTAAGCATGAGAGACGTTTGCAAGGGGAACGAACCCACACCAGCCAGCCGTAATTTTCAACAGCATGTTAGGATATAAAAACGGAATCATAAAACTCCGGAGTGACTTTGCAAAAAGCTGGAAAGGAGCAATGCACCATGCTCATTTAAGCTAATAACCAACTGCCTTAGGCCAAATTCGTTAGAATTGATCAATTGTTAAAATTTCTGAAATTTTATAACATAGCCCAAGAGCAAAGACATAAGACTTGCCACAAGGGGTTAAAATAGAACGACCAAAACCAATTGAAGCCCAAATAAAGTAAGTTAGAGGCAGCTTATAGTAGGTTATTTAGTTAGCTCAAATGAACAAAGAGTGCGACAATTACCCTTACCCGATGCCTCATTGTAGTACACGTTGATGCGCTCCAGCTGGAGGTCGGAGTCGCCATGGTAGGCACCAGTGGGGTCAATGCCGTGCTCGTCTGAGATGATTTCCCAGAACTGAAAAAAGACAAAGGGCACCAAATTATTGCAGTGCAACAGTTAGGTAAACGCGCTGTACAGGATGCGTCAACAGCTGCTGCGGGTGGAGCCGGGCACTTCAAGGAGCGCCCCCTCCCCCACCCCAAGGTTCCCCTTCTACCCCCTCCCCCTCCCGCTTCCGAGAAGGCGACCGCGCGCCCCGGCGGAGGGACCGTCCCCGAGCCCGGTGGAGGAAAAGGACTTGACAGCGGAAATTACAGCTGCCGCGCCGACTGCCGACTCGTCCGGGCAAGTCGAGCCCAAGCCAGGTGTAAAGGCAAGTCAGCTGCATAGCGAGCGCGAGGCGCGCAGCTGTTCGCCACACTGCCATTGCAGGGCGGGCCGCTTCCCCGAAGCAAAGATAAAAGCCCAACACTGAATAACACAACGAACCACACGTCGCGGCCGCGGACAAGTCACGCATTGGACGACGACGCGAGTCCAGCTAGTCTAGCGCGGTCTGACAGCCGCGACGCGTCAAATGGGGCACGGCGCGGCGGACGCACTATACTCCAGCAGGATCAAACTCGCCGGCCGGCCGGCGTCAGGTCGGGCAGGGCGTGGCGGAGCGTGGCGCGATGGGCAACGAACTGCCGGCCGGCGGCGGCCGCCACGCCACGCCACGCCGTCCCGCCAAAGTGCGCGAAGCCCAGCGCAGCCCAGGGCCACAACAACCGTCAGCCCGTCGGCGAGCTTCGCGCGGCTTCGCGGCCGCGCAGCTTGGCGCCAAACCGCCGCGGCAGACAAAGAACCCGGCCCACAACAAGCAGGCCACAGACACGGCCAGCGGCCCGCCCATCGCGCAGGTCGCGGACGAGCAACAGATACTACACCGCCAAGCCGCGGGAAGTTTCGCGAAGCTCGGGCCGCGCCAAGCTACGCGAAGCCGGAGGCAGGCGAACCCCGACCGCGATCCAGTTAGGTCCACCGCACTCAAAACCACCAATCTCGAGTCCGAGAGCCAGAGCCAGAGGGCTCGGCCGCGGCCAGCGCAGAGGCAAAGCCAGCCGGCCAGAAAGTCCAGGGCGAGTCCGCGGACGCACAGCACACAACACAAGCACAGGGCACTTGACGCCTCACTGTCACTATCCACTTGGGGCACGATTTCCAGGGTAATCCAAGGCAGCGGGTAATCCGAGGGCTGCGGCCGTTGGGTCTTGAGGCACGGCAGGCACAAGCACAGCCCGGGCGGCACAGCGCGGCGTCGGGGCGGCAAGCGCTCGGTTCACAACACCGGGAACAGCAACTCCAAACTCACCTTGGCACCAATCTGGTTGCCGCACTGTCCGGCCTGAATGTGAACAATCTCCCTCATGGTGATAAATACGAATTAAGTTAAGCGGAGCGAAAGGAGAGAGGTACGCGCTCGACGGCCGCCTGAGACCAAGTGAAGCTTCGCCGGTACTGTAACGGACTTTCTATGTGGCCCGATTCGAATGCCTCCGCTCGACGCTCGAGTTGGCCGCTGCGTGTGCCTGGAAGCAAGCGGCGGCCCGGCCAGGAGGCCTCGCCACCCCCTCCACCGCCCTCCACCTCGCCGCCCATTGGCCGGCGCGCAGCCAATGGCAGCGCGGAATGACGTCAGCCCACAGACTGCCAACCTCGCGCCGCGGAAGGCACTACCAGGGTGGCCGGCGGGACGTTCGAACGGAGCGCGCGGCGAGCATGCAGGTAAGTCGTACTTACGCGCTGCGGAGCGGAGCTGCCGACTGTCGTTTCGTCGCTCTGTCCCTGTCACACTCATGGGGCGTCCCGTGAGGATACGAGAGAGACGGACTCTTCGGAATCACTCGACAGGGGCGCTCTGAAACCATGCTGAAACCAAGGGACCGATTTCAGAGGGCGGAGGAGCGAAGACGATCCACCTACTAACTGTTTTCGACAGCGACTCACTGCAGATAAAAATCAAACGTGTGCTGTCTTTTTTTGTGGGCGGTGGCCGTAAAGATTTTTTTTCTAAGTTTGTAACAGCATTACTGTATTTTCCCGTGCTCAAAACTGACAATTACAAAAAAAAACAATCCCAAGCAAAAAAAACCCTGTTGGCATTTTTTTTCTGTTTCCATCTGTCGAGCGCTTTTGCCCCGCCCTGCATCGAAGTCACGCCCACGGCGGGGACATTTGGTGGGCAGCGGTTGGTACCCGGGGGCCGGGGGCCCGGCGCTGGAAGGAGCGGGCGAACCAAACCTGCTCCACCCACGGCACGGCGGCGACTCGGCGGCCATCCCGTCGCCGGGGCCGCGTCCGCGACGTGCACGACGTCCGCCTCCAAGGAGTGCCTCGCAGGAGTGCCTCGCCACGGCCGGCGACACGGCGAGGACGCGCCGCCCGGACGCAGCCCGTACGTAGGCCGGTGCGCTGGTGGCAGTGGCGGCGCGCCGTTTCGAACGCCTCCGCATCGACCAATCCAGGAAAGAGCGGGCTGCCGTCGTGGCCGTCGTCGCCACCCCGAGAGTGCCGCGCCATGGCTGCGCCGCCGAGAGACCGACAGGACCGACACTCGGAAGACATAAGTGGCCAGTTTGTTTCAATGGCTTTCATACAGTGGCCGGGCGGAGAGTCCAAATTGCGCTGAGCGCGCTCGGCGCTATCAAGTGTCGCCGCGGTGTCGCCACTGGGCGGGGTCCTCCTCGCCGCTAGAAACGGCCAAGGACAAGGGGGCGTACATTTGGGGGCCTGGCCTCGTCTGGCCGCGCGAGGTCGTAGAGTCACAGAGCAGAGACGAAGGATGTTTTTATTTTTCCAGGGGCCAAATAAGTTACATCAAAAAATGACGGCGGGGCTGGAGCAGCTGCTGCAAAGAATGCCTCCAATCGGGTAGCGGGCCTGCTATGCGACTGACTTGACTTGGGGGAATTCCCACGGGGAAGGCGATCCCTCCAGGCGAAAGGGTTGCCAACCTCAGCTTGCCGCAGGGAGGGAGCAAAGCCCACCGAATCGTGGAAAAACTCTGCCTTGTGGCAAAACTGTCGGGATTTTGCGTCTCGCGGTTCAGGGTCGCCGTCCGGGGCCGTCGGCCGCCAGCAGGAAGACGGTCTTGCATGGTCTTGCACGCCTCCGGCCGGCCCAGGCCGGGGCTCAGGCCGGGGCTCAAGCCCACGCCCGGCGTCGCCGCCGCGCTAAGTCCCCACGGCCGTCCTCGCCCGTCCTCCGAACCCAGCCCGTCCAGTGCGGGGCAGTGGCGGAGGCCGTGGACGTGGAGGAGGCCGTGGAGGAGGCAGCGCCACCGATGCCCACTCCACGCCGAGCCGCCACACCGCATCACACCGACCTTATCTCACTTAGGCCTCGGCCCGGCAGGGCTCTGCGCGCTCTGCGTCGGCCGCCAAATTTATAGAGTCCTGCTGCCGTTGACCTGGCCGAAGTCCGCGCGATACGCCGCCCGCCCGCGTTACCCCGTTTAAGTCGCCGGCTGCGCTGGGCTGCGCTGCGGAGGGTGGCCGGTGGCCGTCGACGTCCTCTGCCTGGGCGCCTGGGCGGTCGGGGCCGTCGGGGCGGTCGCATCCGCATCAATACTCATCGACCGATGCATAATCCATCTTTCTTGAGTGGCGCGGCTGCACGGGCGTAGGCATGGCCTAGCGGACCCGCCGGTCAGGAACACGGCAGCAAACCCTTGAGCAAACCTTCGGAGAGAAAAAAAATCAAAAACTTGACCCGTTTAAAAAAAATTGAAAAAATAATTAAATTATTTGTTGCCTCGCTGTGCCTCGGAGAAACTCTCGATGGAGTTCAAAGATGCGCGCGCTGTCGCTGCGCAGCCATTATTTTCCAAAAAATCTTGACGCGTTTCTGCGAGTGAAGGGTGCTTGCCACCCCGCGGTCGGAGCGGTCGTACGAGGGGCGACTTGGAATGGGCCGCGCTGGCCGGGGACGCGGTCGCACAGGGTAGCCTGGAACGCCTGGCCTGCGCCCTGCACTGCGAGCACCGCAAGGCACTTCTTCTAATTTACGACCGCGGGGGGCTGAAATTTATACAAGCGGGACGACTTATACGGTCCAGGAACGTTGCAGATATATCCCCCCGCGACAGCTGTGCGCCATGGCTGGCCCGCCATCCGCCTCGGCCAGGCACCGCCAGGCACCGCCAGGCACCGCCAGGGCTCGCCGCAAGGATTTGTCGTAGGCTGCATCGGGTTAGAAAGTACCGCGGAAAAAGGCGGCCGGCAAAACCAACAGGCGGCGGCCAGGTTAGGTTAGGTAAGGTCAGATTAGGTTTGGTTGGGTTGGGCGAAAAGTAACGAATGTTTCGGGGTGGGGAATCGGGATGTCACAGAATGATCCGCGGCCTCGCGATCTGCGTGTACGTCGCGAGGGAGTGGGTTATCCGAACAGCGTCGCTCTGTCTCTCTCGCACTCCCGGGGCGAGCCGGGGCGTGCCGAAGGGGTGCGAGAGAGGCGAGTGCCGCTGACCGCGTCCATCGATCCGTTTTAGTGCGCTGACCACCGCAAGCCGAGGAAAAAGGGGCAGGCGGAGGGAGAGAGAGAGCAAGAGCAACACTGTGTATGGATTAGTGGGATTCCGAGAGTCGTCGCTCTGTCTCTCTCCCACTCCCGGGGAGTGCCGTAGGGGTGCCGCAGGGGTGCGAGAGAGACAGAGCGACGAATGCAGTGTTCGGCATCGGCCTGCTCGATTGAGGGCAGCACCGATTTGCCTGCCCTCTGGAGGCGTTAGTGCCGGTCAGGATCTCGGTGCATGGCATGGCGGCGCGCTCCTGGCTCTGATGAATGATGTCCGGAAGCACCTCAATCCGTGCTACAAATAGAGGTGTCTCTATTTGTTCCAAATCGACTTTTTTTAAGGCGAGTACAGAGATGGAGACTGATTACATTCACGACGAACAATATCATTTTACTGACTCTTCTTCCCCGACGTTTAAGACCGGCAAATAATTTATTAAGTATACAAGGCTCCTGCGCACGCCATAGTTAGCGAGTTTCTGACGCGTTTCAAATGAATTACATTTAACCAGCAACGGTTATTTTTTAATTTTTTTTTTGTTACTGTAGTATAGGCTGTCCACGGTGGAGATGTGTGCGTGGCGGCAGTAACGTGTCCGTACTTGTCGGTACCGTACCTCCCCCCACCCCCTGGCGTCCGCACCCTCGTCCCCGGGGTGCCACTAGGGTGCCACCCGCCGCACCCCGGCCAAGCCAGCACCCCCCAGCCAGGTAGAGTCCGTCGGCGGCGAGGCTGCCCAGGGGCTGCCCTGCCCCAGTTGTGTGGCCCCAGTTGTGTGACGCGCGGAGAAGGGGCCCCATCTATTCTCATTAATTCGCTCCCTTTTCCTCGACTTTCATGTTCACCTGTGTGTGTCCGTGGGCGGCCGCGCACGCGCGCGCACGCGAACTGCGAACCACGCGGCGGCAGGCCGAGCGGCAGGCGGCCAGACAAGGCTGGCAGGCACAGCGAAAAACCAACGGGTTCCGAAAAGCGCAAGCAGGGCGTAGAGAAAAACATAACAAGTTCGTATTCGAATGACTTCGGACTGTGTTTGCCGCCGAATGAAATAACAACGAGCAACGAGAATGGAATCGGCGAGAGAGCGCGAGTGCGAGAGAGCGCGCTGCTGCAGCCGGACAGGTATGGAGGGTGCAACATGGAGCCTGCTCCCCCCCTCCCCACCTCCGGCCCGTCCCCGTCCTACTTACCTTGTACGGACCCAAGTGAAGCGGCTCTGGGCCCCTGGGTCGCGCCACCCGGTCACCGTGTCAATAAATGCGAATAACAAATGACTGCGAATAGCCTGTCCTTGTCTGCGAATAGCGCGATGTGACGGCTGGAAAACTGCCGGGAAGCCACGCAGGCCGCCGCTCCTTTCCACCGATTCCTCCAGCCGTCTTGCATGTCGGATGGCCAATTATGCAGTGGAGGAGCAGAATCGAAACGGTTGTCACGCAGCCGCGGTTCCAACCAGCTGCTGGCGTTCCTAACTCAACGTAAGCCAACCCCATCCAACCTAACCTAACCCCCTGAGTGCTCCCCGCACAGTGGGCCAGAAGACCGGTGCAGGCGGCCAAAACTCCAGACGCGTTTTGAGCTCCAGAGTCGCTAAACAGAACTCGAATCGAGCGTGTGACCCCACCAATGGATTCCTCGTTCGGAGAGCAATCCGTTGGTGGGGTCACACGTTCGGTTCGGGTCCCATTTAGCGACTCTGGAGTTGAAAACGCGTCTAGAGTTTTGGCCGCCTGCACCGGTCTTCTGGCCCACTGTGCCCCGATCGGCTCCTTCCCGTGAGCCTTGACGTCATATCGCAGGGGCTTGCGTTCGAGGGCGCGGCGGAGTGCGGCCCCGCCCCGTCTCCGTCTCGTCTGCCCGCGCGGCCAAGAACGGCGGGAGAGAGACGGCCAACAGGGCGCGCTCGCGAACGCACACCAGGTGTTCCGGTCGCTGGGCAAGGGAAGGGAGTCTTCCATATCTACCATGCGATGCGATATGCTCTCAGACCCACTGTCCCAAATAATCCAGAAAGCGATGGGGAGAT